CTATCAAATAAATTACAAATTCCTTAGCCTGTATTTAAAACCACACCATGGCCTGTCCAATGTACCCTTCTCCTTTCCAGGTTCATCTTACCAGTCCTAACCTTGGCCAGGCAAGGCTGCTTACTGCCGTCTCCACAGATGTGGCACTTTCCTTCCTAATGCCTTGGCCTACACCATCCTTTTCAACAGAAATGCCCACCCCTTCTTCCACCTACCCAAACCCTACTCCTTTTTTACAACCCTTGAATCCACCTCCCCCTTGAATCTGTCAACTCAGCCAGAAATGATTTCACCCAACCTTCCTGAAACCCATTATTTAAATCAATTACATGGCATTTACCTTATAACGCCTTCCCTCATAGTTATGTCCCTAGGTAGTTCACCCTCCACACTAGGATTGTAAAACCTTTGGGGGCTTCTTTCATTACATTTCCCACAGTGTTCTTCATGGCATTTCACATATACAGGTTTCTCACTAAGTACTCACTGAATGACTGTTTATTGAGAGAAATCAGCCTTTTGGCTGCTGGAAAAAGGCAGAGTGAAATGAGCAAAGCAGGGCTGATGACTATAAAACATGCAAGGGTGCAGTGAGGCATGAACGCACACAGACACACACATCCGCCTACAGGAGGCTTAAACATATATTCTGTCACTTTAAAGCAGTTAGAGGATGAACGACAACCACACCGCGTGGAGTTGAGCAAGCACTTCATCTCTCTTGAAGATCTGCCGTTTTCAAGCCTTACTTACTCCACGGACAGACACTAAAAGGGCACTAAAAGCTGAAGTGAAGAAACTGAAATAAAAGCTTAAGTGAACAAACCAAAATATGACTGAAATAAGAGGCACTGGGCTATTCTCAAAGAAAGCTTACAGTCACAACCTATTCTAAAAAAAAAAATCTAGGCTGGTATCAACCTATTCTTAAAAAAAAAATCTAGGCTGGTATCAGAAAATCTGGGTTCAAGTCTAGGCTCCATTACACCACGTGGATACTTCATCATGACCAGCAGCTGCTTTTCCCGTCTAGGAGAAACAAACAAAAAGTCTCTTGTAGGAAAACTTGTGTCTCCTCCAGCATTGCCCCAACAGTTCTCTATTCATGCAGCAGGAAAAACTGTCAGTTAGGGAGGAAAGGTTTTATCACCATCTTTTGTGGTCTAACCTATTCACTTATCTTGACTTAACTTGAATCTAATTGGAAAAGTAAAACTCAAAGCAGTTTGGCTCATTATGGAAGGGAGTTGATTTCAGAAGATCTAGACCACCCTCCTTTAGACCTACCTAGTCATGTAAGGCAAGACAGAGGGCAGCATCTGGCACACTTGGTTCCAGAAAGAAATCTCCCTCTCAGATCCTGCCTTCTCTTCAGTTCAAGTTCATCACCTCAAGTCTGAATTCCAGCAAAAGACTCTTGGCTAGTCTCTGTGAATCTGGGGCTCTCCCAGAGCCAAAAGTGTACTTGTCTCTACCAAACCAAAGTTGCAATGATATCCCAACTGCCAAATCAGGTCTCTGCAGCCTTACCTTGTTGACCTTCCTCTACCATCTGAACTGTTGAAACCACTGTGCCTTCTTTTCAAAACCCTCTCTCCTCTCTTGGCTTCCATGACCGGCTCCTCCTGAGTCTTCTATTTTCTTGCTGGCCCCTTTATCCTACCCATTCCTAAAGCTCTTGCTCTCCAGTCTTCAGTCCTCTATTCTCTTCCCCTCTCTTTCTACACACTACTCCTTTTTTTTTTTTTTTTTGAGACGGAGTCTTGCTCTGTCACACCCAGGCTGGAGTGCAGTGGCACGATCTGCGGCTCACTGCCTCCACCTCCTGGTTCAAGCAATTCTCCTGCCTCAGCCTCCTGAGTAGCTAGGACTACAGGCATGCACCACTACACTTGGCTAATTTTTGTATTTTGCAGAGATGGGGTTTCACCTCGCATTGACAAGCTGGTCTCAAACTCCTGACCTCAAGTGATCCACTCACCTCAGCCTCCCAAAGTACTGGGATTACACATATGAGCCACCACACCCAACCACACTACACACTACTTCACAGTCAAGCTCCTCCTCCTATGGCCTCAGCTTGCTCCTCTCCCAAACTAACCTCTTTCCTGAGCTCTGAACTTGCTTTCAGTTGCCTACTGAACATTTCAACACAGATGTGATTCAGCCTGTCAGAAACCAAACTCAGTAGCTTCTTCCCCCTTCCTCCATGATGTGGTTTAGCGGTGTCATACCCAAATCTCATCATGAATTGTAACTCCCATAATCCCATGTGTCATGGGGAGGACCCAGTGGGGTAATTCAATCACAGGGGCAGGGCTTTCCCATGCTGTTCTTGTGATAGTGAATAAATCTCACCAGATCTGATAGTTTTATAAATGGCAGTTCCTCTGCATGACCTCTTGCCAGCTGCCATGTTAGATGTGCCTTTGCTCCTCCTTGGCCTTCCATCATGATTGCTTGAGGCCTCATAAGCCGTGCAGCTGTGAATCCGTAAACCTCTTTTTCTTTATAAATTACCCAGCCTTGGGTATGTTTATTAACAGCATGAAAAACAGACTAATACACCCCACCACTTGGTCTTTTTCCTTTCATTCTCGATTTCAGCTAATTGTCCAGGTCATGCCTGCTTCAACTTCAATTCTTCATGTCCTTCCCACTCCATACTGAATGGAGCGTGCAAGTGTATCGCAATTCTGCATTTTAGGTTATGCGTTCCAACTGCCATAGCCAATGCCCTCATCAACTCTCATCTGGGCAGGATACTTGGCCTAACTAGTTTCGCCTCTTCTTTTTCTCTACCAGTCCAACCCATACTGGAGTCTCTCATTTATAACACAAATGATTCACTTACCACCTCACTTTGACCTTTTAATAACTCTCAAACTCCCACAGTATCTGGGCTCAAATTACCTTTTCAGTCCCATTTCCAAGCATGAGCTATCTGTCCAAAGGTATCTTCTATCCTACCTTAATCCCCTGGATCTACATAGGAGCTACAATATTCTGTGTAAGGAGTTTTGTACAGAATGCCATCCTCTCACTTCCTATGCCTTAGATCAACATGTATAAAGGACCAACTTTGTACTCTCTACTTCTCTCCCCTCAGGAAATCTCCAGGAGCCCAGGTGCCATGACTCACACCTATAATCCCAGCACTTTGGGAGGCTGAGGTGGGAGGATCGCTTGAGCCAGGAGTTTGAGATCGGCCTGGGCAACATATAGAAAGACCTTATCTCTACAAAATAAAAATATAAAAAATAAAAGTCTGCTTGATAAAACTATTCTCATTCTTCAAAGACAGGACAAGTATCACTTTCTCTCTGCAGCAGCCTGACTTTCCTCAATGGCAAAACCACTGAACTGCCTCATTTGCACTCTCAGAATTTTGTTCCTGCCTCAGAATGGTACTTATCCTAAGACCCCTGTATGTTCTAGAGCATAGGGACCAAGCAATATTCATTTATGTATCCCAGCCTGCAGTGCAAGTGCCTGAGCTTATAACAATAACTCACATAAATACTGAAGTAATGGAAATCCCTAGATTTGACTCTTACCATGAAGACAGTAAGTTTCTGAAAAATCAGTCCGATGGGAATAGAGAGATTCAAGTAAGGAAGCATGGAACCCCACTGGGAAGAAGATTCTTCCTGGTGACTCTCAAATCTCCTAGAGGTGGCTGCCTGCTCTGCCAGTACGTAAAGACATTCTCCTCTCCTAGCCATGGCACATATTTCAGAACACAACACATGTGTTCTTAAAGCATAAAAAGAGCCTCACTGTGCCCCCACTGTGACCCACAGCATCACTGTCCTAATGCTGTGATCTCAGCTACTCATGATCTTGCCACATCAATAATGGATAAAAGTTGCATTAAAAACAAATGGGTGTAAAGCGCCTATAGAGCCTAAGAAGGAGAATATATTCTGGGAATCAATAACTGAGAAGTGAACTGAATTTTAATTTTTTCAGAAGCTTTGCTTTCTGATATCTAGCCTCATTATGGCCCAAGTATATGGCTTCCTTTTCCTGTAGCCTTCCCAAATCACTTGAGCCCATAAAGCATTTAATTCATATTGCAAGTTAGGCCCCACTTCAGACTGAGGTCAGAGGTACTTGAACAATCCCTAGGCCAAGCGGCTCATCCCCTTAAGCAGTAATATGCCATCCATGTTGTACAACGGACTGTTCTAGATCCAATGAGATTCCAGTTCCTGCAGAAGAGCTTCTGTGTCAGAGGCAGAAGCATTTAAAGCATATATGAGCACAGTACAATGAGTTCCATGGTAGAAATGTATTCTGTCCACACAGGGGTACATGGCTGGGCAAGGAACAGAGGGAGTGTGAGTGGCTATGTCCCTGGTTCCAGAAATGTGCTGTCGTCTCAGTGGATCACCCAATGTTGTCAGCCTCTACTACAAGAGCTTTCTACTCTCTGGAACTTTCACTTGGGTTCAGTTTTATGAAACAGATTCCTGTCTTACTCTCTTATACTAGAAGTACCTTCCAGAAGTACCATTTCTCTAGGATGAGGCCTACCTTTCGCTAAACCAAACCTTCCGAGAACTTGACTTCTACCTTTGAATTCAAGTCCCATTATTGATCTGCCTCCTGATGCTGAGTGTACATCCTGCCTTCCTTCCCCCTATTGTCTCTGGCTGGAACCCCTGATACTGTCCTTTTTCGCTGTGCCCCAGGGTCCTCATCCATAAGCTGAGGATAAAAGAATAGTACCACTCCCTCCATGGAATATTGTGAGGATTAATGAGACTAGGTTGGCACATGCTAAATACTCAATAACTGTCATTATCATTATTATCTTCATTACTAAGATCCTTACACACTGTCTCCCTCATCCATGGACTTTCCTTCCTGATAATGTGTGAGCTAGGGAAAAGAAGGGAGCCCTCTAGTCATGTCTATCCTCACTGAGGTTGTGAGGGGCTCAGTTGCTTAGCCAGGAGGCTGGCCACCCAAACCCAGCTGGGGAAACCAAGTACCTCTCAGTGTCAAGTAGCCATAAGCTGGAATTGGTCAGAGCTTGTGCACATTTCCAGTGATGGTCCCCAAAAATAATCCGAAAGGATGGCATCGAATCAGCTCCTTGTTTGCTTGAGTATTCTGTAGAGTACAGAAGTGATTATACTTTTGGAAAGGAGGAGAAGTCTCTGGCCATGGACTTATCACTGGAACACAGGACTGAATTCACTTGTCATCTTTTTTCTCTCCTCTTTCTTTCTCATCCTGTGTCTAATCCATCAGGTCTGGTTGGATCCACATTCCCCCTAAATCCTAAAACCAAGCTCTTCTTCTCATTTCTGCCATGAGTACCTAGTCCAGGCCACCCTCATCTTTTACTTGGCTGACTACAACAGCCCCTTCCAATTGCTTCCTCTCTGGCCCCACAGTCTACTTTCGTAATAGCCAGAGTGACTTCTTTTTAACCTTTATCATGAAAAACTTTATTAATATACAAAACAGCATGAAGAATGAATATGTAGCATGATCAGTGATCTATTCCTGACCAATCTTGTTTCCTATCTAGACCTCTCATCCACCCATCCTCACCTTAAATTGAAGCAAATCAGACATTCCATTGTTGCCTCTACTAGCATTTCGTAAGTACCTCTAAAAGATATGGACTTAGAAACATAACCACAAAATCAAACCGCTCAACTACATGGAAACTGAACAACCTGCTCCTGAATGACTACTGGGTACATATGAAATGAAGGCAGAAATAAAGATGTTCTTTAGGCAATGAGAACAAAGATACAACATACCAGAATCTCTGGGACACATTTAAAGCAGTGTGTAGAGGGAATTTATAGCACTAAATGCCCCACAGAAAGCAGGAAAGATCTAAAATTGACACTCTAACATCGCAATTAAAAGAGACAGAGAAGCAAGAGCAAACACATTCGAAAGCTAGCAGAAGGCAAGAAATAACTAAGATCAGAGCAGAACTGAAGGAGATAGAGACAAAAAAACCCTCCAAAAAATCAATGAATCCAGGAGTTGGTTTTTTGAAAGATCAACAAAATTGACAGACCACTAGCAAGACTAATAAAGAAGAAAAGAGAAAGAATCAAATCGCGCAATTAAAAATGATAAAGGGGATATCACCGACCCCACAGAAATACAAACTACCATCAGAGAATACTATAAACACCTCTCACGCAAAATAAACTGGAAAATCTAGAAGAAATGGATAATTTCCTGGACACTTACACTCTTCAGGAACTAAACCAGGAAGAAGTTGAATCCCTGAATAGACCAATAGTAGGCTCTGAAATTGAGGCAATAATTAATAGCCTACCAACCAAAAAAGTCCAGGACCAGATGGATTCACAGCCGAATTATACCAAGAGGTACAAGGAGGAGCTGGTACCATTCCTTCTGAAACTGTTCAATCAATAGAAAAAGAGAATCCTCCCTAACTCATTTATAGAGGCCAACATCATCCTGATACCAAAGCCTGGCAGAGACACAACAAAAAGAGAATTTTAGACCAATATCCCTGATGAACATCGATGCAAAAATCCTCAATAAAATACTGGCAAACCAGTTCAGCAGCACATCAAAAGCATCCACCATGATCAAAGTGGGCTTCATCCCTGGGATGCAAGGCTGGTTCAACATACGCAAATCAATAAACATAATCCAGCATATAAACAGAACCAAAGACAGAACCACATCATTATCTCAATGGTCGAAAAGGCTTTTGACAAAATTCAACAGCCCTTCATGCTAAAACGACAATAAATTCGGTATTGATGGAATGTACCTCAAAATCATAAGAGCTATTTATGACAAACCCACAGGCAATATCATACTGAATGGGCAAAAACTGGAAAATTCCTTTGAAAACTGGCACAAGACAGGGATGCCCTCTCTCACCACTCCTATTCAACATAGTGTTGTGTTCTGGCTAGGGCAATCAGGCAGAGAAAAATCAAGGGGATTCAGTTAGGAAAAAGAAGAATCAAATTGTCCCTGTTTGCAGACGACATGATTGTATATTTAGAAAACCCCATTGTCTCAGCCCAAATCTCCTTAAGCTGATCAACCTTCCAGCAAAGTCTCAGGATACAAAATTAATGTGCAAAAAAATCACAAGCATTCTTATACACCAGTGACAGTCAAACGAAGCCAAATCAGAATGAACTTCCATTCACAATTGCTTCAAAGAGAATAAAATACCTAGGAATCCAACTTGCAAGGGATGTAAAGGACCTCTTCAAAGGAGAACTACAAACCACTGCTCAGTGAAATCAAAGAGGACACAAACAAATGGAAGAACATACCATGCTCATGGATAGGAAGAATCAATATCGTAGAAAATGAGCCATGCTGCCCAAGGTAATTTATAGATTCAATGCCATCCCCATCAAGCTACCAATGAGCTTCTTTACAGAATTGGAAAAAACTGCTTTAAAGTTCATATGGAACCAAAAAGAGCCCGCATCTCAAGACAATCCTAAGTCAAAAGAACAAAGCTGGAGGCATCGTGCTACCTGACTTCAAACTATACTACAAGGCTACAGTAAAACAGCATGGTACTGGTACCAAAACAGAGATATAGACCAATGGAACAGAACAGAGTCCTCAGAAATAATACCACACATCTACAGCCATCTGATCTTTGACAAACCTGAGAGAGAAACAAGAAATGGGGAAAGGATTCCCTATTTAATAATGGTGCTGGGAAAACTGGCTAGCCATAAGTAGAAAGCTGAAACTGGATCCTTTCCTTACTCCTTATACGAAAATTAATTCAAGATGGATTAGAGACTTAAATGTTAGACCTAATACCATAAAATCCTAGAGGAAAACCTAGGTAGTACCATTCAGGACATAGGCATGGCCAAAGACTTCATGTCTAAAACACCAAAAGCAACGGCAGCAAAAGCCAAAAATTGACAAATGGGATCTCATCAAACTAAAGAGCTTCTGCACAGCAAAAACTACCATCCAGAGTGAGCAGGCAACCTACAGAATGGGAGAAAATTTTTTGCAATCTACTCATCTGACAAAGGGCTAATATCAGAACCTACAAAGAACTCAAACAAATTTACAAGAAAAAAACAAACAACCCATCCAAAAGTGGGCAAAGGATATGAACAGACATTTCTCAAAAGAAGACATTCATACAGCCAACAGACACATGAAAAAATGCTCATCATCACTGGCCATCAGAAATGCAAATCAAAACCACAATGAGATACCATCTCACACCAGTTAGAATGGCGATCATTAAAAAGTCAGGAAACATCAGGTGCTGGAGAGGATGTGGAGAAATAGGAACACTTTTACACTGTTGGTGGGATTGTAAACTAGTTCAACCATTATGGCCATTATGGAAAACAGTATGGCGATTCCTCAAGGATCTAGAACTAGATGTACCATATGACCCAGCCATCCCATTACTGGGTATATACCCAAAGGATTATAAATTATGCTGCTATAAGGACACATGCACACGTATGTTTATTGCAGCACTATTCACAATAGCAAAGACTTGGAATCAACCCAAATGTCCATCAGTGACAGATTGGATTAAGAAAATGTGGCACATATACACCATGGAATACTATGCAGCCATAAAAAAGGATGAGTTTGTGTCCTTTGTAGGGACATGGATGCAGCTGGAAACCATCATTCTTAGCAAACTATCACAAGAACAGAAAACCAAACACCGCATGTTCTCACTCGTAGGTGGGAACTGAACAATGAGATCACTTGGACTCGGGAAGGGGAACATCACACACCAGGGCCTATCATGGGGAGGGGGGAGGGGGGAGGGATTGCATTGGGAGTTATACCTGATGTAAATGACGAGTTGATGGGTGCAGCACACCAACATGGCACAAGTATACATATGTAGCAAACCTGCACGTTGTGCACATGTACCCTACAACTTGAAGTTTAATAATAATAAATAAATTTTAAAAAAAAAAAAAAAGAAAGAAAAAGCAGAATACAAAATTAAAAAAAAAAAAAAAAAAAAAGAAACATAACCACAAAATCATTATCTCATCAAAATATCAACAATAATTCCTTAAAATCAAATATCACAGAAATCTAATTTTTAAAATAGTTTGTCCACATTGTGAGATCAGTCTCTTTCCATCTGTAGGTTACCTTTCCATCTCTAATTCTTTTTCTTACAAATTATTTGAAAAAGCTGAGTCATTTGGTCTAGTATTTCCCACAGACATAAATTTTGATGACTGCATCCTCATGGCGTCTCATCATGTCCCTCCATTCTCTGTTCTGCCTTTATAATAGTAGTTGGGTTTAGAAGTTTGGTTAATTTCAGCTTTGAATTCTTTTTTTTACAAAATGACTTCATGGTTAGTGGTATGTTCTTCCAGCAGAATACACCTACTATCTGGTTGTTGTTGTTGTTGTTGTTTTCCTCTGATATTAGGAAAACTACATGGAAAATTAACAAAAGATTATAAAATGCAAATATATATTTCTATCATTCCTTCTTCATACATTAGCTGGAATAATTCTATAAAGAGAATTTCTCCTCCTCTACTCTTTGGTTACCCAATAGTACAGTTCATATTGGAAAGGCAGGACACATAGTTTATCCTTGCCCTTTCTTTACTAGCTTTCAGAAAAATGAATTTGTTCACTCACATCCTCTAATTGTGACCAAATAGCTTGTTATTATTATTAGAAACTTATGGATTTTTAAATATATTTTATGTGTTTATATCTTAAGATGTAAATTAGATCGTGACTTTCCTATTCAAAATCCTCCAACAGCTTCCTGCTTTTTCTTCTTAACAGAATTCAAAGTCCTTACCATGGCTTCCAAGGTTCTGCACCATCTGACCCAATCCCAATCACCTCTGGACTTCATTTTCTACCACTCTCTCCTCCTACTCCATCTGCTAGAACTATACTGACCAGAGGTTCCTGAACATCACCAACTAACTTCCAATGCAGGGCTGTGCACGTGCCGCTCCCTCTGCTCGGGACACTCTTCCATGTCATTCACTTTCTCATCCCATTTTCACTTTTCTTATCAACAGGCCTGTTTTGGCCACCTTATCTAAAATAGATGCCACTTCATCACTCAATATCCCATTACCTATTTTACTTTTTCTTCATAGCACTTATTTCTATCTAATATTGTATTAGCTATTATTTTTGTTTGTCTATTATCTCCCCGAATAGAAGATAAGTCCCTTGAGGACAGAAGTTTATTCCTCATGTTCACTGTTAGCTGTTCAGTACACACAGGTGTAACACGTTCCGTATTTGCTGAATGAATCATTTATTAGCAAGGTTAAAGATGGGTTGGGGGAAATAATCCTCTACCCCTATAGAAGTGACAGGTACAGCTCTCTAAGAAATCACCGAACTGCATCTTCACGTCATATATTTCAGTGACTTTACAAACACAGCCAATATGGCTGGACCAGTCGATATGGTCAGGCATTTTTTTCCTGGTAAAGTGAAAATAGCACTTCAAGGGACCAAAAAGCTAAAGTGTCAGCCCTGGTTCTAATGTTTGTTTACTGATTGTGTTGCTTTGGGGCAAGTCACTTTGATCTCAGCTTCCTTTTCTGAGATTTGGAAACCTGTATCATCTACCTCATGGAATTACTGTAAGGAAAAAAAAATAGTGTCAAAATGATTCAGTGTTGTTACGTGTGATCTAAATGTAACCCGTTTGAAGAATAATGTACAGGTAACTAAAGTAACCCATTTAAAGAGTAATGTTAGATAAGATACAGCAGTACCATACGTGATTCCAAGGAATACACTCCTTCCTGATTCCTGTCTCCTACCCAACTTCATGTTTTACCTGAACCCTGCTCAAATATACAGAAGCAAGCAATGGTAGAAGGAAACTTCCCCTGATGCTTCCAAAACATCCATTTAGTCAGCATTTTTTAGAGTTCACCATGGGCTGACCACAGCAAATACTAAGTTCTCTTTCGAGGAAGAAGCATCATGCCATGAAAAAATCACTAGAATGGAGGACCAAAGCTTTGGCTCTGGACATTGTATATTCATCCTCGAACTCCTTGACTCGGAGAAACTGGGACAACCAATATGGGCTCCAGATGTCATCCCAGCACTACTGCTGCTGATGTGGCATCCCCTGCCCTTCAGGGCTAGGAGTACTGGGTTGGGTTTGATTAAAAAAAAAACAAAACAAAAACAAAAAAACAGCTTTATTGAGCTACAATTGAAATGCAAATAACTGCACCTGTTCACTGTATACAATTTGATGAGTTTGGGATTTGAGTTAGATTTCTCTTCTAAGATCTAAATCTTTGTCATTATCCAATCTGGCCAAGGAGTTTTCAAGCCTTGAAAACCCCCACTTACACTCCATGGCAGATGGTACTTGTCCGTTTTTAGAAATGATCCTTCTAGCCTCAATTTGTGAATCACTAATGGGTCCAGGCCAGGTTGATTGTCCTTTGCAAGGTCCTCGGGTCATTTACAGAGATAAATTTACAAATATCCATCTAGAGAGATACTTCAGAGGCAAATGATAGAAAAAGAAACCTATCTAGATTACTCTTTTCCCCTTGGCTAGGAGGATCCAGGAAGTCAAGGTACAAACTCTTCTGTTGATAAATCATGTTCTGGAAGCAGGTGGGTGCCTGTGTTCTAATAATGAGAGTCGATGTCGTGCTGTCTCAGTTTCCTGGATTTTGATTACTCATGCTTACACACCTGCTCTGAGATCTTTGACTCAAGTCTTGGACTTGCTCTTAGAAATGCATACTTGGAATCTTTGACCTCCACTTCGACCTCCTGTTTCTGGACCTTTAGTTTATTTATGATTCCACTGTAACCAAGGGCATCTTACCCATATCCTTTCCAGGCTAGAGCTTAGACCTGCCTGACTGCCTGTTCTCAACCTCCTGCCTTACTATCCCAGCCTTTTTGTTACCTAAGAGACAGCATCCTGAAACCTTCCAGGATGGATATATATACACACATACACACACACACACACACGTACGTATATACATACATATGTACGTATTTGTGTATATATGTATATATGCATATATATATGTGTGTGTATATATACATATATACCCTTTTTTTCTCTTTGAGACAGAGTCTCGCTGTTGTTGGCCTGGGCTGGAGTTCAATGGCATGATCTCAGCTCACTGCAACTTCTGCCTCCTGGGTTCCAGCAATTCCAGCTGCCTGAGCCTCCCAAGTAGCTGGGATTATAGGCATGCCCTACCATGCCCGGCTAATTTTTGTATTTTTAGTAGAGACGGGGTTTCACCATGTTGGCCAGGCTGGTCTTGAACTCCGGATCTCAGGTGATCCGCCTGCCTTGGCCTCCCAAAGTGCTGGGATTACAGGTGTGAGCCACCAGGCCTGGCTATTTTTTTTTTTTTTTTAAATTTTAAGTTAAAAGTAACAGCAATCAAAATAACCAAATGAAAATTTTTAGGTTTTTCAAATTTTTATTTTATTTTTTTAGGGACAAGGTCTCATTCTGTCACCCAGGCTGGAGTGCAGTGGCACAATCATGTGCTCACTGTGGCCTCAATGTCCTGGGTACAAGCTATCTTCCTGTCTCAGCTTCCCAAGTAGCAGGCTCCCTCCACCATGCCTGGCTGATTTTTAATTTTTTTATAGAGACAGGGTCTCACTATGTTACTGACGCTGGCCTCAAGAGATCCTCCCGCCTCAGTTTCCCACAGTGTGTGGATTACAGGCATAAGCCACTGCACCTGGCCTAATTTTTAGTTTAAAGGTAGGAGCAGAAATGCCCCAAGGAGGAACAGACAATGAACCATGCAAATCTAACTCAAATCCCAGCACTACTGGAACCAGAAGGTGGGTTGGCTACCTAAGTATGCTCTGCTTTGTTTTCTCTTACTTACAAAGAAAGATGACACCTTCCTCTATTTCATATGCTTCAATCTGCATCTAAGGCATAGCTTCTGTAATCATGAACATATTTTTAAATGGAAGCAAAATTTTTGTGAGTTTTTTGTTTTACCATTTTTTCTTTAATCAGCTGAGCTACTTTCTTCTGGGATTGGGCTAATTTCTCTTTGGGATGAGACATACAGTCTACGGCCTTCTCCTCTTCTTTAGCTTTAGTTTCCTCTTCACTCTCTCCACATCCACCGGTGTCATACAACTTATCTGTTTGCTGGTGAGCTGGGATCTCAGTTTGCTGTGACCTGTAGGTATGAGAGAAGGGATTCAGGATTTAACCACCTTTGCCATCTCAAACAAGGTAAAATTGAAGGCATAGCTCTCCCAGCTGGGGGATAGGGACATGCTTTCTAACATAAACTTGAAGGAATAAAGCTAGGCAGTAAACTAACATCACCCTCAAAGCTTAGCATTAAGAGAGCAATGTGGTGGTTCAAATGAAGCCTAGTTATAGAGGTGCAGCTCTACTGCTTACTAATCACATGACCCTAACCAAGTTATTAATTTAGTTCTCTGTAAAATGAGAATATGAATGCCTACTTGATGAGGTTATGGGATTAAATGAGATAATACTCATAAATCAGTTAGCACAGTGTGTGGCCTTTACTAAGTGTTCCTTTCATGTTAGCTGTTAGTATATCATTAGCTCCAGGACAGGGCTTCTTCTACAAATGAGGGTGTTGAACTGGAAGATCCCCAGGAACATCTGTGTTCTAAAATTCTGATCCAAACAAGGAAAGAAAATGGATATAATGAAATAAGGGAAAGGAAACCAACATTTTGAGGCTAGACTTTGCATGTCTTCTTTCTCATATCTTAAAGGCTTCAACATGTGATGGCCAAGAAAAAAGGACATGGGTCCCACCAGAGACAGCGAGGGAACCCTATACTACATCAAGTGCAGGGCCAGAGGAGAAATGTCCTTAGTTGTGTTAAAAATAACTACATCCTAACATTGCCAGAAAAATCAGTAAAGTGCTACAGAAGAAACCGAATTTTGAGATCTTAGGAGCAACAATAGAAATTTTAAGTATAAATAAGTCTCCCAAAGGACTCATCTTTGTACTCACAATAACTCAAAAGTTCAGCCACTGAGTAGTTTTGAAAATAAAATTTACCTTTCTTTTCCAGTGATTGCTTAAATTGTGAATGTTCAATGTGTAAATAAAAGAAAAATTCAGAAAAGCACAAAAAGCTTAAAGAGTGAATGTTCAATGTTTAAATAAATGAACATTCAGAAAAGCACAAAAAGAAAGTAACTGCCAAGTGTAATCTTTTACACCAGGTTTGAAAAATGACATGCTAATATCCTTCTAGAGTCCTATTCTAATTAACTTATCAAGAGGCACGTGGGCAAACCAGGTTGTGTAGATAGGAAAGCAACATTTCTTCAGGCCCAAGCGCAGGCAGGCTTGCCTTCTGCCCACAGCTGAGCATGCTTTCAGTAGACAAGCTAACTTGATGGGACAGCCAAGGAAGGTTGGCGATGAGACCTGATCAGAAGACAGGTGATAAACTTCCTTTTCTCTGCCTGGTGAATTCCATACTCCACCTTCAAGATGCAACTCAGACGTCATCACTCCTGGAAGTCTTTCACTGGAGTAGCAATAAAGGCAGCCTCCAAAAGGCTTTCAAAAATTTCCCCCAAACTGCTAGTACACTGTGGGTTTTTTTAATTGTTGTTTGATTTTTTTTTTTTATTGTTGTTTCTTTGGCTTGTTTCTGAGCATTCTTTGCCGCCTGGCAAAGTAAACTCCACCAGGGCAGGGGCTGAGCCTCATTTGTTTCTGAAAACCTGATATCTGGCTCACAGTAAAAACAAATAATGGCCTGTTAAATGATGAAAAAATGAATGAGAAAAGAATGTGCAGTTTTTAGAATGTTTGAAAACTATTGAGGAGAGAGAAAATCTGTGGCAAGAGATCGTAAGTCAGCTGACTCTGGGCATGCTGCCTATAAGCTAGCCCTGCTCTGCACGGAGCAGTTAAAAAATAAAAAAGAGATCATACCTCAATAGAAAATTTTGCTTAAGCTGCATATTTCACAGACCTAGAGCAGAAGTTAAATCTATTGGAGTCACCAAACAGATTGCTAATTATGGGTATTAAAAATTATAAGCCCAAAGTATTTTAAGTTAAGCCTTGAATAACATTAAGGTAAGACCGAAGGTAGCAAACTTCAACCTTAGGGACTTCAAAGGAATGATAAATATTGAGGTCTTGACAAATGATTTGAGAATGTAAATCCCTGAATTAGCTTTGAACATCGTGTTATAAAAGGTGAGAAAGATGGCTGGAGAATCCTGACCAGTCAGACATCTCAAAGGATGGTCAGAATAAAAAGAAGAGGAGGTTGAATGGAAGGTCTGCCTTGCCAGGCTTATAACTTATTCCATATGTTACCATCATAAATAGGAATTCTGATTAGTAATGTTCAATATAAATTATCTGATTATTTCCCAGATATTTTACTGTGAACATTTTTATGAACTTTAATTTTTATAGTCACATAACCCTTAACATCAAGATATTTTATGAATTTAAACTTATGCTATCCAGATGGGGCACAGTGGCTCACACCTGTAATCCCAGCACTTTGGAAGGTCGAGGTGCGTGGATCACTTGCGGTCAGGAGTTCGAGACCAGCCTGGCCAACATGGTGGAACCCTGTGTCTCCTAAAAAATTCCACAATGAGCCCGTAATCCCAGCTACTTAGGAGGCTGAGGCACGAGAATAGCTTGAACCTAGGGGGCGAACGGTGCAGTGAGTCAAGATCATGCCACTGCACTCCAGCCTGGGTGACAAAGCAAGACTCTGTGCAGGGAGCCAAAGGCCCGTGGGACGTGATCAACTCAGCATTCCACTGGAGACGATACGATCAAACAGCAAACTGTTTATCATGAATGCAGGATGTGAGCAAACTCACCAGTGCTCCTGCTGACAGAAGGTTTGCTGGAGGCAATCACTCCCTGGCGCTGAGGTTATCTACTGTGACATCTAGAGCCTGTTGTTCGAGGAATGCAGTCTGGCAAGCCTACTCTGGACTGAGCAGCTGACCCCTCTTCCACCCCCCTTCTCACCATCTCTTTTGCCTAATAAATATGGAGGGCTGTGTACAGCTCAGGGCCGTTGTCCACTAGAGGCAAGGTGCCCCCTGATCTCTTCTTCCAAATATACTCTTTTGTCTCTTGTCTTTTATTCCTGCGTTCACCCCTCCTTTGTTCAGTCCACCAGGGATCATGGCAGGTTACATAGGGACCCCCAAACAGCGACGGAATCTCGTGCTCCACAACTCTGTCTCAAAAAAAAAAAAAACAACAAAATGCTATCCTATATGGTAACTACTAGCCACATGTGGCCATCAAGCACATGAAATATTGCTAGTCTGAATTGAGATATGCTGTAAATGTAAAATATGTGCTGTATTTTAAGGAGTATAAAAAGATAAACTATTTCATTGATAATTTTTGCATATTTTATATATATTGAAATAAAGAAAATATAGTATTGAAATTAAATTCATGTGTTTCATTTCACCTTTTAATATGGGTAGCAGAAAATTTTAAATTACGTATGTGGCTTGAGTTATATTTCTATTTGATGGCACTGGTATAGAGCGATGGTTCCCAACTAAGGATGACTTTGCCCCGAAGGGAAATCTGGCAGCGTCTGGAGACAGTTTTGCTTGTCACAACTGGAGCTAGTGCTACCTGCATCTAGTGGATAGTGGCCAGGGATGTGGCTAAAAATCCTATAATATATAAGACAACCCTCCACAACAAACAGTTATCCAACCCCAATGTCAATAGTGCAGAGATTGAGAAACCCTGGTATAGAGAATGGTTAAAGAATGGACTCTAGCTGGGCACAGTGGCTCATGCCTATAATCCCAGCACTTTGAGAGGCTGAGGCAGGAGGATCACTTGAGCCCAGGAGTTCAAGACCAGCCTAGGCAACATAATGAGAACCCATCTCTACAAAAATGTAAAAATTAGCCAGTTATGGTGGTGTGTGCCTGTAGTCCCAGCTACTCGGGAGGCTGAGGTGGGAGGATCTCTTTAGCCCACGAGGCCAAGGCTGCAGTGAGCTGTGATTGCACCACTGCACTCCAGCCTGGGTGACAGAGCAAGACTGTCTCTAAAAGCAAAACAAAACAAAACAAAAATGGATTCTAGAGTCAGAATGCCCAGTTTAAATACCACTTACTAGCTGTGCAACTTTGGGCAAACTCCCTAACATCTCTTTGATCCATACTCATCTATAAAATGTACCAATAACAGTACCTCCTCCACAGGGTTTGGGGGGATTAAATCAGCTAAGATGTTTAAGGTACTTAGAACAGAGCCTGGTACAAGTATGTGCTCAATAAGCATTAGACAATATGAAAGTTTTATTTACTGTTTCATAAAACTTAATTTTCTCATTAACTTTGTTATAGCCAACTCTCTACAACTTTGCCAATCTTGTTATAACTAATCTATTTTTATTTTAAAAACTTCTAAAATTTCCTTAAGTCAGGAAAAAGCAATCTTCTATCATGCATAGGTTGTAAATACAAACAGATAATATAGCAGAATCATTATTAAAGCACATCACAGAAAGACAACCTTTTTTTTTTTTTTTTTTGAGACAGTGTCTCTGTTGCCCAGACTGGAGTGTAGTGGCGCAGTCTCAGCTCCCCGCAACCTCTGCCTCCAGGTTCAAGCTATTCTCCTGCCTCAGCCTCCTGAGTAGCTGGGATTACAGTCGCGCGCCACTACTGCACAGCTAATTTCTGTATTTTCAGTAGAGACGGGGTTTTACCATGTTGGCCAGGCTGGCCCTGAACCCTTCTCTTTTATATAATGTTCATGCAAATCTCCTCACCCAGGTTTGCCTTAAGCAGGAGGTCCCAGTGTTTCAGCCCAATGAGTACCTGTGATGTCAAAATTCTGTGATACTTACACACGGAAGCAGAAATCCCAGTCGATGTCATTGCTAACAGTTGGGATACGGATGGGGCTGGCTTGCATCTTCTTCCTACCAAGAATCAGGTAAGGTCAGCTTTGGGAGAAAAGGCTGGGTGTCTGTTCTATTTTCCCCCTCTGGGATGCTATTAACATTAAACTAAAACTGCTCAAATATATAACCCATCCTAAATCCACAGACTACGCATACTCAGATATGGAGACCGCTGGAAGACAGGCGGTCCTTAATTTGCCAAATTAAATGTCAGTTAAATTTATTTCCCCTAATTTCAACTCCACCCTACTTCTCCAAAATCCCTGGCCTTTACGTCTCAAAGCAAGCACATTTACAGCTCCTGGGTCATCAAAACTATGGTCACCTACTCAACTCAGATATTGTTTTTGCAGGTCTGACGGCATGATGGATTTAAGCAAAGCAACCAGTTCTCAGTGGTAAACGAAGCACAGTGTGTTGGTTAATTCTGCTTTTCTTCGCTGGGGTCATTTCAATAATTAATAGCAGATTCTAGTAAAGGGGTCACAAAGCGGGTACAGAGGCTCACGCCTGTAATCCCAGCACTGTGGGAGGCGGAGGCAGGTGGATCACCTGAGTTCAGGAGTTTCAGACCAGCCTGGCCAACATGGTGAAACCCCGTCTCTACTAAAAATACAAAATTTAGCCCGCTGTGGTGGTGCATGCCTGTAGTTCCAGCTACCCAGGAGGCTGAGTTTGTAAGTATCACAGAATTTTGACATCACAGCCGGGAGGCTGAGGCAGGAGAATCGCTTGAACCCGGGAGGGGGAGATCGCAGCAAGCCGAGATCCGAGACCCCGCCACTGCACTCCAGCCTGGGCGACAGAGCGAGACTCCATCTCAAAATAAAATAAAACAATAAAATGAAATTCATGTGTCTGTTTTAGTTGTTGCTGTTGGATGATGGGGGAAACCTCGGAAGCACATGACGAAAAATGTGATTTCTAAATACAGTATTTGTGAAACTCAACTCTCAAGGAAGGCTATGCCAGGCGCTTAAACCAAATCCAAATCGAACGCAGTTATTTACTGAACGTTAACATCCACCAAGTAGCCTCTCATTTCACGCTCCAGAAATCACTCATTCCCGCCGACCCCTGAGTGGCTTTCTGACCCAGGCTCCAGAGCATCCACTAATCGAAAATCAGAAAGGGAGACTCACTAATTTCTCTTTTTAACCTCCACTTTAAACACTATGCCCACAGCAAGGCGTTCTGATCTCTCAAACTTCCGGACTCTGTTCCTATGATGTTCCGCATGGCCCTGAACACTAAACTCTGGTAACCCGCTCAGGTACGAATCGCTCCTCTTTTCCTGCTGTGGTTCCGCGGTCACTCCGTTAAGCCCTGACGCCACAGGTCTGGCTCTGCTTAGCAGTGACCCTGCTACGGAGGCTCTAAGAGAACGCGCGAGTGCGCACTGCACACCTTGCCCAAGGCGGGGAATCCACGCCCCGGAACTAGCCTCCCCGCTCCCTCAGCCCGACTGCGCGGCTTCTTCCCGCTGCGTCGGCCTCCTGATCCTGGCCGACCTCGGTCCGGGCGCCAAAGCGGTGCCTCGCAGAAGTTACACAGCCTGCGAGGTCCCCTTTATCTTCCGCAACCCAGGTTCCGGCCAAGGAGACAATACCGTTGCCATGGGAACGGAACGCTACAGGCCTGCTGGGAGCGCCTGTAGCCATAGCGACGCGGGGCGCTTCCCGTTCGGAGAGTCCCTGTTGGCTAGAGCCTACAGCAGCTCTTAACAGCACCCTCCGCTTTCCCGTCCCCGCAGGCTAGACGCTCACGGCCTCCGGCTGGCCCCAAAACTGGCCTCTGCATATTGTATCTCACGAGACCTTGCCACTCGGAGGTGAAGGCATAGGAAGAGAAGATACATTCCGTCCAAAGATGGAAGGGAGCACTGGGCCCCACGACCCTACCTATTTAAAGCTGCGACGTGTGCGGGCTGGATTCGGCGACGATCCCTTGCTACGGAGCACCGCCACAGCTCCTCGGGAGTTTTGTTTTCGTGGACCCCAGAGGAAAGGCTTAGATATGGCTGTTGACTGTGCTGGCATCGTCTGTTTTACCCAGTCAGATTGGAGCTAGGCCTGGTTAGGAAAGCGGATTGCAGGAAGTGAGTAGGCTAAGAAATCAACTACTTTAAGATCTGCTAATGGTTAGCCGTTCAGCGAGGGAGTCGGGCACATTTAGCACTTAGCCCTAAATAATGCAGCCATATCTTACCCCTTCGTTGGCCTGGAATACACAGTGTGTGGAATACACAGTGTGTGTAATGCACAGAAGGAGCAGAGGCAGTTGTGGCCATACCCAAACAGCGCCAGCTCTTAACAACGCTATGTTGAAGGATGTTATTATGAAACCTATCACAGACTAGGCCTATGGCAAGTCAAGTTGGAGTGAATGTGTCCCAGTTGTTTTCAGAAAAGAGCAGACTAGGTAGAGAGACAAGGAGAACATTGAGAATGTGACAGATGGTATTTACGTTTGGTGTTTGTTATTTCCAGCTCGAGGATGGAAGTTTAATTGCCATTGATCCAAGACTGCCAAGAAAGCCTTTCTGGGGTTAGGTTGGAGGAGTTATTTAAATGAGTTTGCTTGAATATCTCTTAAGTAAAGCCTGTACGGTCTGTTAACTCAGGATTTAAATCAGTACCTTCGAGCTCCATAGTCACAATTTTGGAAAGATTCCCCCACTTCCTTGTTTTTCCTAAGAAAACTCTCAGCATGGAACAATGATGACAGCAATGAACTTGATTTCAGAATGTCAAGGTTCTGGTTCTGACAAGTGTGTGGGTCCCAGTTTTCTTGCCTATACAGTGAAAGTACTTGTACCACTTAGTTTCTGAAGCTCCTTCTGGTTCCAGGTTTCTGTAAGGGGTAAACGATTTTTGTGACTCCATGAACAGTATTTAACATGTATGGCAGTAAAAAGGAAGACTCTGTTTCCTGTTCTCCAACATTTATTTCTCTCACCGTTTGTTACGTTGGTCATCAAATTGAAAGGTTTTAGTGTTCTTTCACTGTAGGAAGTGGCTATGGGATTGTTTCTAAGTATATTAACGGTAATGTCTCTCTTCTAAACCTTTGCTTTTGCTGATAATTGTGAAGGGAAGTGGAACCAGAACAGACGCTGAATTCCCATTCCTGAAGCTAACGCTCTGATTCGGCCTCCATTTCATTCGCTTTGACCAGAAGCACGTTGCCTGCATCTGTAAAAATTATAAATCAAAAGAACTTTGACGACTTTTTTTTTTTTTTTTTTTTTTTTTTGAGACAAAGTCTCACTCTGTGGCCCAGGTTGGAGTGCAGTGGTGTGATCTTGGCTCACTGCAACCTCCACCTCCCTCCCGCATTCAAGCAATTCTCTTGCCTCAGCCTCCCAAGTAGCTGGAATCACAGGCCAGTACCTGTGCCACTACTGTCTGGCTAGTTTTTGTATTTTTAGTAGAGACAGGGTTTCACTATGTTGGCCAGGCTGGTCTCGAACTCCTGACCTCAGGTGATCTGCCCGCCTCAGCCTCCCGAAGTGCTGAGATTACAGGTGTGAGCCACCGTCCAGCCAGAACTTTGAAGACGCTTGAAGTTCTGTGGTATTTTCTTTCCTTGCCACGCTAACCCTGTCCCCCAAATGTAAGCTTTAGTTGTAGTATATACACTTTTAGGTTTGTTCACTAACTCTGGAATGGAATCCCACTAATCGAAGTGGATAGTGCTTTTCCACTGTGTGTATTCACATTCTCTCCCCTGATCTGGAGGTAGAGGTGGCAAGTATTGCTATTGCAGAAATTGCATAGAGGAAGCAGTCTGGAGGGTTTTCTAGGCTCTTACAACCCCAAATCAAATATGATTATCTCCAAACTATTCTATCTCCAGGAACTGTGAAATTTAAGGCAAGGAAATCCAAATAAACTTTCTCTTGGAACACATTGTTATGGCCTCTCAAGAGAGGGTTAGATGCCTTGCTTCTGAACTCCCGCAGTATCCTGTCCACAAGCTCATCGTGATTCTCACATTGTACTGGCATTTCTGTTTATTTGCAAGTTTCTCCAGTCTCCATACATCTATCCTTCCACCCAGACAAAAATATTTGTGGAATACCTACTATGTGCCTGATAATGTTATAAGCAGTAGGAAAGCAAAAGTGAACAACTAAGAATGATTTTGCTTTCCAGGAATTTCTGTTCTACTAGATGAAGAAAAACACAGCTGCTAGTAAACAATAGTGTCTCTGCAAGTTACAAAAAGGCATAAGGCTTAGGAAGTATGCAGCAACATCGTATGAATTTGGGAAAAGCCTCTTCTTCCAGCCAGACTCAGACCGCTGCTAAGGAGTACAGCTTTCGGAATAGAGAGTGGGCTGGAATTCAGGACTCACTCACTTCCTTAGCTAGATGAGTCGCCTTAAGAAAAAGTGGCCCAGGTGTGGTGGCTCATGCCTGTAATCCCAGCACTTTGGGAGGCCGAGACAGGTGGATCACGAGGTCAGGAGTTCAAGACCAGCCTGGCCAACATGGTGAAACCTGGTCTCTACTAAAAGTAAAAAATTACCTGGGTGTGGTGGCAGGTACCTGTAATCCCAGCTACTCGGGAGGCTGAGGCAGGAGAATCGCTTGAACCTGGGAGGCAGAGGTTGCAGTGAACCGAGATTGCTCCATTGCACTCCAGCCTGGGTGACAAGAGCAAGACTCCATCTCAAAAAAAAAAAAAAAAAAAAGGAAAAAGAAAACATGATAAACAGTTACGGAGAAAAATAAAACCAAGTGAGTGATCTAGAAGGTGATGTGGCCATGGCGGGAGGGGTGTGCTATCTTACATAGTGTGGTTAAACAGGACCTCTCTGACAAGATGACATTGAGAAGAGACCTCAAATCGTGCAACAAATTGGGCAAATATCTAGAACATTCTAAGATGTTAACAGCAAGTGCAAAAGCCCTGAGGTAGGAGCAAGTTTAATGGGGTCAAAGAACAGCAAAGGGCAGTAGGAATGAGAAGGAAGGAGACAAAAGACTGTTCCAGTAAAGTAGTGGGGCACTGGGTCATGGAGGGCCTTTTAGGCAATCCATCCGTCTAAATATTCATCTACTCACTTAGTGAATACGGAATATCTGCTAGGTAGCAGGCTCTGTTTGGCCAGCTATGAGCTCCTTGTGAGCAGGAGCTGTTATCATTGAGCCTTTAGCATTCAGCACAAAAACATTTAATAAACTACAAATGACCTTTAGGAACTCCATTAGTAGAGATTCTGGCCTACCTGTGTGCATCAGTTTCCTATTGTTGCTATAATAAGTCACCACAAACTCAGTGGCTTAACAAACCACAACTTTATTATTGTATAATTCTGGGGGTTGAAAGTCTGAAATGGGTGTCACTGGGCTAAAGACAAGATGTCTGCAAGGGTGGCTCCTTCTGGGAGCTCAAGGAGAAAATTTTTTCTTAACCTTTTCCAGCCTCTAGAGCTTGCCTGCATTCCTCGATTTGTTCTCTTCATCTTCAAAGCCAGCAGCAATGCAGCATCTTCAAATCTCTGACCCTTCTTTCCATTTTAAAAGACACTTCTTGTTATACTGGGCCCACCTGGATAATCTTATTTAAAGGTCAGCAGATTAGCAGCCTTCATTCTATCAGCAACCTTAATTCCTCCTTGTCATGTAACTTATTCACAGGTTAGATTCACAGCTAACGAATTCACAGGTTCTGAGGATTAGGACATGGACGTCTTTGGGAGGACTTATTCTGCTTACTAGAGTGTGTAACTTAAATGCATGGCTTTAAAAACATATGGAGGTGACACATAAGGAGCCCGCTTCTCCTGGCCGTTAGCAGCTTATATCATTGGACTGTGTCCTGCTCCTTTCTGTCCCTTACTGATGTGGTTTGGCTGTGTCCCTACCCAAATCTCATCTTGAATTCCCACGTGTTGTTGGGGGAACCTGGTGGGAAATAATTGAATTATGAGGGTGGGTCTTTCCCATGCTGTTCTTGTGATTGTGGATAAGTCTTACGAGATCTGATGGTTTTAAAAACAGGAGTTTCCCTGCACAAGCTCTCTCTTTGCCTGCTGCCATCCATTTAAGACATGACTTGCTCCTCCTTGCCTTCTACTATGACTGAGAGGCCTCCCTAGCCATGTGGAACTGTAAGTCTATGAAACTTTTCTTTTGTAAATTGCCCAGTCTTGGGTATGTTTTTATCAGCAGCGTGAAAATGGACTAATACTCTTATGTATCCTCCACTGTATAATCTGGTACATCCAGTTAAGATTCTTGGATATGCTGTTTCTTCCCATTTTAGAGACTGCTTTATAGTAAGTATGCAGGAATATCTCTTTGCTTTCCTCCTACTCACCTCATGGGGGCTTTACTCCTCAAAGAAGCCTTTCCATCTACTGGAACCCATATTGATTGTTCCCTTGC